TTTTTTTTATTTATTTAATGACTGACTTCCGCTTTGAATGTGTTTTCTTTCTAGATATTTGGCACAGGATCAGTAGTAATTCAGAGACAGCTGGATTTTTCTGCAGTAGGCTTCGGACAGCCTTACTACTTCCAGGGCATTCTCTTCATAGAATACTTGGATGATCTCCTTGTTGAGGGCACAGGCTTCGTCTGACAATGTGATGAAGCCTGTTCAGCTTCTGCTAGACCCTGAACCTTCAGAAATCTGCGCTGGAACCAATTCATTGCTTGGAGTATCTGGGTCTTATTCTTCATACAGCTCAATCCAGAGGTTTTTTTTACCCACAAGACAAGTCCAGACTCTCATCTCCCAGATTTGGGCTTTACAGTCCAGGAGCTGTCTGACTTTTGAGCGTTCTGGGCTTGATGATGAATTTGAGGCAGTCCTGCTTAACCAATCCACTCTAGCCCATTGCAACTCAACATTTTGGCTGTTTGAAATACTTGGGCCAACCAATGCATTTGATAAAACCAGATTATCCCTAGTCTGATGGCTCAGAAATCCTGTTCTAGAGCAAGGGAAATCTTTTCTTCTGATTTCCTGGAAAATCCAAATTACAGGTGCCAATCTGACAGGCTAGGGAGGAGTGGTGGACACCCTAATGGTGCAGGGGACTTAGTTGCTGTAAGAAGTATTTTGATTAACAAGCTGGAGCTGATCTCATTTAAATCCTGGCTGCCCCCCCCCCCACCCCATGGCTCTTCCAGATCAACTGGAACTTCTGTACCAAGGACCAGTTTACCACCATGCTTCACAGTTGCTTGCTTTGGTGGCTTAGCTGTTGAAGCCCAGGTCTTATTAATAGGTCCCGTTCTGATTCGGTGATTCCTATGCTCTTGAAAACTAGGAAGTCTACCTCTCACAAGGTCTACTATCACACATGGAAGGTATACCTCGCTTGGTGCAAGGCAAAAAATTTAATCCCAGACTCGTGGGGCGAATTTTGTCTTTTTACAACCTGGCTGGGATCAACAGTTGACCTTTAGTGCCATTAAGGCTAAAATTAAGGTCCTTGCAATCCGGCTCCAAAGACTGGATTCCTCCCTTTCTTTGGCTGGGATCAACAGTTGACCTTTAGTGCCATTAAGGCTAAAATTAAGGCCCTTGCAATCCGGCTCCAAAGACTGAATTCCTCCCTTTCTTTGGTTTAGGCCTTTGTGTCTCTCATATAGCCCCGCTTGTATAACCATGAGCTCATAATTTGGCTCTCCAAGAACAGCCTTTAAGCCCATCAGGGAAATTCCCGAATGTACGCAAGGACAAGGTTGTCATGAGATTCAGAACCTCCTTTCTCTAGTAGTTTCTTCTTTTTACCTCAACCAGAACAACCAATCCCTCTGTCCAGCCCCAGTATATGCAAAGGAGATTTCACTTCATTGCTTGAATGTGGTTTGTGCTGTACATGCCTATCTTGCAGCCACTTCTTCAGCCTTTAGTTTTGACACTGTTATGTGAGCTCTGAGTGTTATGTCGCTGTTGCACACTCATCAGTTGGACTGCTTTCAGACTTCCTAGTTGTCTCTGAATTATTTTTGATCCTTAAAACAGAACGCTGGGCAGAATTTTTCTCCACCCATACAGTGGGGGCTAACTTCACACTGCAAGAGTTAAGCGCTCGCTTTTATCTAGGTGCTAAAAAAAAAAAGTTCAACAAAATACCTAAGGAGCACTACTACCCTGGAAATGCTGGCAACCCTATTGGAGCCTGTTATAAGAAAAAGGACAGGTGACTCACAGTTAGGATGACAGCGATCGTGTCTGGAGATCCCCCCTTGGAGTGGCGTCTGGGTGCCAAGTCACTGCAGTTGAGCAATGTGCATGGAGCAAATAACCCAAAAATCTGGGGCATGAGAGAAATAGAATCCCAGCACACGTGCTCGGCTGGCCAGGTCGAGCCGCGGCGGCTGGGGGAAGAGTGTGGGCTGTAGACGGCTCTAAGATGCAAACAGTCGTGTGATGTACCGGAGGTGCACAAGGTACTGTGAGCGGATGACTGGATTGACAGGAGTGGTAAATGGAGTGGGAGCTCTCAATAGCCTGGAAACGCGTAGATCTCAATAGCCTGGAAGAATTTTGTTCTTCTTTGTGTTTATAGGTACAGGGTCCTCTCCCTGATATAAGGAGCTTTGCACACCGACCACCACTGAGTACCATTTTTTAAACAGCTGTGACCATCAAATTGTAGTGCGCATATTTACTGTTTTAGTTTTTGCCAACAAAAAAAAGTTATACTCACCTGAACCTAGGAGCCAGTTTGCTCTTCGACCGGTCCCAGGAGCCTCTCTCCCCCTCTGCTCCAGGCTAAAATCTTGTAAATCATCATGTTATATACACAATTTATAGATGTTAGGGCTCTCAGGAACATTTAAATGCTGCAGTATTGGAGGAGAGAGTCAGTGGGTGGGGTAGCCCCACTGCAAGGGTTAAGAACACTTTTGTCTGGAGTTCTTTTTTAATGAGAAAGAAAATAGGATTTTTGTACTCAGCGTAAAAATGTGTTTCTTGGAGTTAATTTAGGAACAAGGGTCCCACCCTCTGTGTTTGGGATCTACTCCTAATATTGCTCTTTTGCAAAAATGAAGCTTGACGGGAGTGGGAGAAGTTATACCTCACTGGCTAACAGTTTTTTTGTTCTCCAGTGTCTAATTCCTCCTGTAGTTGGTAGCATAACCCAGTTGTCTCTAAATTACTTCTGATCCTGTGTCCCTTAATTAACTCCAAGAAATGATTTTTAAGTTAATGCAAAAATGCTGTTACTCCACTTACTTTTAGAAAATAACACCAGTTCTCAAATGCAAATTATGTAACATTAAGCAGACTTATGCAACAAAGGCAAAAATAGTTATCTGTAGAACACAGTATCTGTAGCCACCTCCAGAATCAAACAAGGAGGCTGCAATTTCCTTCTAAAAACGATAGTTACCTTAATTGCATATATCCTACTACTGCCAACAGATTGCGGAGGACAGCAAGTGTTGTTATTGCATGGATGTAGTGATAAAAAGGCAGAGGCATGTCAGACCACTGTATGGAAACTGCAGCTATCACACGGAGAGCAGCACTTCTTTTGTGCAGCCTGCTGCCTCTTTCTTAGATTTGCGGCCAGTGCAAGTGAAAAAAAACTGGTAACAGCAAGACCTTTATATTTTAAGCTCTTGGAACACTAAAATATTCTGCCAACTTTCTGCCATAACAGTGGGTTTTAATAAATCAACGTAAAGAACAAACAAATATTTGCCAGTGATATAAAAGCCTACCAGGGGAGACAACATGGTATGTTCGTAGGCATCCCTAGGAAAACAAGCACTGAAATTCTGCCAGAAAGTAAAATAAGCTGTTACGTTATTTAGCTAAGAGGATCTACCAAAAAATTATATCAGTCGGCAGGAGTGAACCTTTAAAAGCTGTTAGTTGTTTAGCCCTCATTCACACCTACCATGTAGGTGCAATTTGGAATTCCTACGGCGAGAACTTGCGATTACCTACAGCAGGAATTCCAAATCTTCCATATACACAATTGAAGCCTCCAGGGATAGTGACCGATTCCTAACTACATGTAATCGTATAAGAAACGATTACATGCGGTGTGTCAGCATTCTGCCGCTTTCAAATGCAGCCACTGTTACCCGATCATTAGCTTGATTGAGTGACAGCTGAAGATTTGGAATTCCTGCTGCAGGAGATTGCAAGTTCCTGCCAAATGAATTCCAGATTGCTCCTACTTGGTAGGTGTGAATGAAGGCCGTAAAGCATCTTGGGGCTGGGAGACGAGGAGAAACACAAGGTAAGTCTATGGACGCGTGCACCCGCATGCAGACACCGTGGGACAGGAAGTGCCAGCAAGGACAGAGGAGTCAACGCTGGATCGGAGACCCGCAGCAGCGCTGGAGAGAAGGCTGAAAACAACAGGAAAGAAGATGACCGGATTAAGAGACATCATTTAAAGGAGAACTATGGGGTCAGTGTTTTTCCCCATAGTTCTCCTTAGGGTAACGGGAGGACACAAACTAGTGTCCTCCCGTTACCCTAAGCTCAGTATACTCGCGGTATACTGAGACACCGCAGCCGGAGCGGATCCCGACATAGACGTTGAGATCCGCCCAGCTGCGTGAGTGACAGCTGGCTCTTAGCGAACCCGGTATGTGTTTGCTCACCTCCTGATCTACTGAGGTGACCTGTGACAGTCTCATTGTCACAGGTCGGCTAGAACTATGAGGTGAGTGGAAATCACTCATCTCATAGTTCTCCTTTAAGGTAAGTGCTTTAATTAATATGGGGGTGGAGATATTTGCCTTTAATGTCACTTTAATGCCATAAGGCCAAGATGAATGGGTACAGAACAAGCCAGGTCCATGCTCTCCTCCCCATATGCAAAAGCAGTCCAAGCAAAATAAACTCGTGTCTAAGCGCTTGTGGTGACCACATGTGGTCCACATAAATAGCAAGGATCTTGGTGTGTGGCTTTAGTTTGGCTTTAGGTGTTTTACCTACTTTATAAACTGATACATCAATGTACCGTAATTCATATCTTTTTGTTTTTCAAATGTAATAAGTACTTTGTACATTCAAATCATATTTACAAGTTGTGCAACTATAAAATAAAGTGGAAATAAAAAACAACTGTTCTTTGCCAGAGTGCCAGTGATGCATTACAATTTTCCATGGTGATGCATGTTAATCATTGTTGCAACTAAGTAAACATACTTTATACATGACTGGTTACATCTTGCCATTGATTTATTTGGAACATGACTGACTTTGTGACCTTAACTGATCATTTCAAGAGCAAAAATACAGAAAACATATGCATTACATTTTTGTAGTGTGAGGCTGTAATTAATGGATCTCCCTTTTGAATCGTATATTTACATAATGTTTGTGGCATGGATGAAACCTGGTTTGTTTAAATATAAAAAACATACATATATCAAACATCACATATTACAGGAAGTTATTATGCAGTAGTGGGAATGGGCCACTGTTTGGATAACTGATCAAACATGTGTCACCAGAAAATAACAACTATATCTTGTCCCCATCTGTCCTTACACTTACTGTGGTAGCTGCAAAGGCCTCCTGGGTGGCTAGATGACAAAGCTTACCTTCCTTGGTAGCAATTACTCAATAGCTACTTGGCAGCCTGGGCTGACAATTATGCCTGATGTGTTATCAGCATTTTTTTTTTCCTTAAGCCAACAACCCTTTCCCCAAGATGTAAAAGGCAACGGTGGGTTATATAGACTATATATAGACTATATTTCTAAGGTCTAATTGGTTAAGAGAGGCATCTCTTGGTCAGTAGGTGTTTAGTTAATGTCTAGCTTAGAGGAAACATGCACTGAGAGAGATATGTAGACTGTCATTGCTGACCTCTTTCTGAAAAGGATAGTTGCCTGACTATCCTTGCCTTTCTCAATCAACGGTCTGGGGCAAACAAGCAACAAGAAAAGCCAAAACTCTTAGGCCTGGTTCACACCTGGGCGTTTTACAGCCTGGGCGTTTTGCGCTGCAAAACACCCTACGCCCAAAGAAGTACAAGAGCTTCTTTGGGGTGTATTTGCCGCGCGTATCCATTGGGATAAAGCCAGGTAGCCCTCAGAAAAGCGCGTTTGTCGCACGTTTTTTTTTACCGCAAATCGCGGTAAAAACGCACGGCACAAAACGCGCAGCAAACACGCATATTCCGTACACCCAGGTGTGAACCCAGCCTTAATCTGTATACCTGTTTCAGTATGGCCAGTGATCATCTTTCAGTGTGGCCTGGAAAATATTCAAACCACTGCATTAGTAGGGCAGTCAGGCAACTAACATTCTCAGGACATGTCAATACCGTTAGCCTATTTTTCAGGATACTTCATCAATAGGTATTTTAGCTTACATATCCAATTAAATCCAAAGACTTACCAATTTTTCAGCATCTAATAGCCCCTTTAAGAAGTCCACTTTCCTGGAATACTCTATCAGTAGTTCAGGAGCTGGCTTCCTGTCAAAATATAAAAGGCTATTTTAATAATAAATTAATGCCATTGTTCCACATAATTTTCATTTAGATTGGACCACTTTCTTGAGACTAACAAGCCCACAACTTCTAGCTCTAAAAATAAAATTTGGTACACCGCCACTGGAGATAGGTTAAACAAAACCATTCCTGAGAAATAATTTCCCGACAACAAATAGCAGACAGTAACCTAGTAACCGTTACACATTTCTGCCATGAGAATAAACAAAGGGAAATCCTGTTCTAGGAAACTGTCGCAACAGAAATGATCCAAACGCTATTTCCGCAAAGACCTCTGCAACCACATTAATTAGAACCATTTTAATACAAAACGCTGTCTGCTTGTTTACTACCCCTGATAGCCTTTTGATTTACGTTGCTTTATAAAACTGTGCTAAAGCTTTAGGTACATCCTTCCCACAGCACTAACACTGGACCACATTTCCGCTACTTGCACTGTGATATTTGCACAAGGAAAGCACACAGACTATATCACAAAATAATACACTGGAGTGGCCAAACTTCTTTATACCAAATAGCAGGAAGCAGTAACTTTCCTTGAAGACATTTAAATACGTCAATACGAGAGCGATACACTCCCCCATCCCCGTTGCTCCGGAAACCATTATTTGTGCTATTTTTATAAAGGCAATCCATACAATGACCAGTCTCCAGCCTCTTGGAAATGTTTATTATTGCACAGATAAAAGTATTTCTCAGTATTTCTATTTGCATACAAAATAATACTAATAATATTACTACATGGACAATAAGGACCCTTGTATTATTTATAGTAAGGTGCATCATCAGAATTAAAAAAAGACAACAGTAAGTAACACTTAGTGACTGTAGATTACCTCTCAGCAGTATTCATGCTCAGCAAAGAGTACCAATGCTGAAGTATATATGCTCTTGCCAGTTGTTTATTTATGACTACCATAAGGAATAATGGATATAATAATCATGATGAATAAGGTGAACAGGATGGAACAGTTACTAAAAATGTGGACTGTGACTCAATATTGAAGAGCATAATATTTGTACCAGTTTACTTTTAAAAGAAATGCACTCTTCCATTCTATCTCCAGGATAATAAAGAGGGCAAATGAGTAAGAAAGCAGCTTCTACTGCCAGTGTTTCTAAAGTATCAGCTTTGGCATTGCTAGATTACATTACAATTTTTACATTACTGCTATGGGCCTTTTGATTTGGCAATTCATTGTTTTATTACTCAGGGCTTGTTCACACCAATTGCAATGCATTCCAGAGCGGTAGCTGCTGGAACGCACCACAATCGCTCACAAAACTTCCCCCTGCGTTCTGGGGCGGGGCGATGCATTGAGGTCAATGGCACCGCAGCCACGCCCCCCGTCTGCAGTGCAATCGGACGTGTGGACAAATATTGCCTGCGTTCCGTTCCACTGCAAATTAAAAATAGAGCAAGCAGCATGCTGGAAGACTGCTCAGGTAAGCCTGCGCTCCCCCCCCCCCCCCCCCCCCCCCCCCAGAACGCAGGGGGAAGTTTTGTGAGCAATTGCGATGCGGTGCTACCGCTCTGGAACGCACCTCAATTGGTGTGAAGAAACCCTTAAGATAACAAAGTAAGACTTTCTTTTGGTGATATTGTCTTGCAACAATTATTTTAATTTTTAGTAAAAAAATTCATAAAACTACCTTTTTTACTTTCATCAGTGTTAGTTTATAAAAATGTGGTACTATAGATAAAAAGTATACATTTTATCCCATCATTTATCCCATTTAAAATGACACTAAAATTATGATTCTGGTACAAAACATTGCACATTTTGTAACCAATTAAATCTGCTTTTTTTTTGCACTGATAAAGGTAATGAACAAAACAAGAAAAAAAAATAGTTTAAGTTGCGCGATTTTCGATTAATAAGATAATAAATACATTTTTCTATGTGAAGTAGATTATTAGTCTCCTCATTTGGGCCATCCACTTTGCATCCCTTTTTTGGGGAACACCGTTTAAGATATTACAAAAATAGTTAAATAGTTTAAAAGGTTTAAATAGTAATGGTTAGAAAAACAAATTAAAAAAAATCAGCAGGAAAATAAAAGTTAAAAGGAGAACTATGAGGTGAGTGGTTTACACTCATCCTCATAGTTAAGAGTCGACGTGTGACATTGAAACTGTTACACGTTGACTCTATAGATCAGGAAGTGAACGAAAACATACCGTCAGTCGCTCACTTCCCAATCATCTCCATGCAGAGAGCGGTAACAGTCAGCCACCGCTCCCCGCGGGGATTCCCCCACTCCCCTCTCCAATCCAATCGTCCAGCGCTGACTGGAGGAACGGATGGGGTGGGCACAGCTGGCTCTGCCTCTAGATAGGCAAAGCCTGCTGTCAACCAGCCAGCTGGGTGGATCTCAAAAGTATTGTGAGGATCCGTCCCGTCTGCAGCGCTCTCAGTATATCGCGGGCAATAGCTCACTATAGACTGAGCTTTGGGTCACCGGAAGAAGTTAGTATATGTCCTCCCGTGACCCTAAAGAGAACTATGGGATAAAAAAGGTTACACTAGGGATGTCCCGATACCACTTTAAGACCAAGTACAAGTACTGTCCCTCCAATTACCGATACTTTTTCTTAAAGGGACATGAACCGCTGCCACAATTCCTGATAATCGGGGTACATGGCACCGGTATCGGTACTTTTTTTCTTAAAACAACATAGACTGATGATTTTAGGGCAGTTTCTCACCAGGGCTAAATACGGATGTCAACAGAACTGAATACATGTCCCCACAGAAGAACACATGTCCCAAAGCCAAACACATGTCCCTAAGGCAGAATAGTATTCTGCTTTGGGGACATGTATTCTGGGAATACATGTCCCCAAAACCGGATATATGTTCCTAAGGCAGAATAGTATTCTACTTTGGGGACATGTATTCTGAAAATACATGTCCACAAAGCAGGATACATTTCCCTAAGGCAGAATAGTATTCTGCCTTGGGGACATGTATGCTGAGAATACATGGCCACAATGCAGGATACATGATCCCAAAGAAGAACACATGTCCCTAAGGCAGAATAGTATTCTGCTTTGAGGACATGTATTCTGCTTTGGGAACATGTGTTCTGCGAATACATGCCCCCAAAGCAGAATTCCTCTTACCAGGCTGCGTGTTGATCTCACCCAGGCGACGTGGACCTCACCGGCGATGTCGGGAACCGGCCTCCCCCACGTCCAGTCCGGCCGACTCTCTGCGCTGCTGGGCCCCGCAACTTTCGTCCATCTCCCGGTCCAGTCCTCCCAGTAAGTGTGCGGCGGGAACCCCCAGCTTCTAGCCCTGGGGCGGTAGTTCCGCCCCGGGGCTGTCCATGGCAGTGCCTGCGTCGGGAAGGAGGAGGAGATAAAGAACCGAACAGGCACTGCCACGGACAGCTATCTGCAGGTCCCGAGCAGGCTGCCGAGGTCCCCACAAGCGCGGGAACTCGGACGGCGCGGGAAGGGCCGGTATCAGCCTTAAGAATCGGGGCAAGTATCAGGACATCCCTAGGTTACCCCATAGTTCTCTGTTAAGGGGAAACATTTTTGTCAGGTTGCTTTAACTGACATTCCATGGTGATCAAAGATCTGCAGATCAATTAAACTTTGGATCTCACATCTCAACAGTGTTTAAAACACTGTGTCAGACGGTCAGTATTTTGACAGAAGCAGCTATTGGGCCCCTTTCACACAGGCTGATCATGAGGGGATCCATGCTCAGATCCCATCCTGATTGGAACGATACGGATCGGATGTCACATGTCCATCCAGTATTTACCTCAAATCGCAAGAACTGAAATTACCGGACCCCATGTCGGACATGTGTTTGTTTACATCAATTACCCCCGATCCAGCACGATCAGGTCCATTGAAACGGAACATTGTTCCGTTTGTTTTTCGGACCTGGCCGGAGTCGGAGGTAACAGGGTATAAACAGACACCCGTCTGTTCACACACGGCTGCCCATAGACTAGCATTGGGCATCTGATCGGGTCCGTCTGTCAGTTTCTCAGATCGGGCTGCCCGTTTGAAAGGGGCATTGCTGCTGCTGTATACAGTATATACAGCAACTTCAAACTGTCATTTTGAACGGATGGGAACTATTGGCAAGAGCAAGAGGGAGAGCACCAGAAGGACAGGATGTAAATCGCAATCCCTGCGTTAGGGATGCACCGATACCGGTTTTTTGGCTTCAAGTACGAGTACCGATATTTTTTCCAGTACTCGCCGATACCGAAACCGGCATGCCACGGTAGCATGGGCCCGGCTAACCAGGAAGCTTCCTGATTGCCTGGGAATCTGATGTTCTATTGAAAGCACACGGGCTTCACACTGCCTCGCGGCACTGCAAGGCAGCCTGGCTTCCTGACCAATCAGGAAACTGGGCGGCATGTCATGACCCACATCACGACTTTCGGATAGTTCAGGACGCCAGGCTACCTCGCAGTGTTGGGAGGCAGTGTGAAGACGGCTTCCTAGCCAATCATGACCCATGCCCGGCTTCCTGATTGGCTGGGAAGCCGGCTCCATGCTCCCTTGTGGCACTGCTGATCAGAGGGAAAGTCCCTCTGAACAGAAGTTCCGGTATCGAAGTAAGGTACCAAATTCTCAGTATCGGCACCTATACCGATAACAGTATCAGTATTGGTGCATCGCTACCCTGTGTGCTTATTATGTTTTAGGCTTTTTAAGTATAAAGGTTTTTTTTCTGTGTGTAGTACATCTAGTGACCACAACTGGTTAAAGTAGATTTAATTAACTATTAAAAACTCAGCCAACTCTTTGGACCCTTCTAATAATACAAAGTGATCACCCAGTCGCACGCGAGATAAGGATCAACTGCACTGCCGTTACAGGTATACAACTGACTTAAAATGTATCTGTATTCAAAAAATAATAAAAGTTGCTAGCAAGTATAACATGCAGTCACCTAGAGCTGCAGCAGATTTCACTGGTTCTACTG